ATGCGTCGCATTGCATTGCAGGTTAATGTACTTTGGTTCTACAGTGGAACCCCGTTAATATGGTCACCAACGGACCGAAATAATATGGCCGTATTAACGGGGTGGCCGTATTAACGGGGTGAGATCAAATTTCAATTGTGACGTCATTAAAGCTATGTTTATTCGAAAATCACAATAACACCATACCCCACCATAATGCCAATTAATAACTAAACATTATAAAGTTCAGATAAAGTTTTCACTAATTTTAAAGAAACAATGTTAGGGAATACAACGTCGCTAAAGAGCCTTGTATTCCTTCTTTTCCTTTGCGCGACTGATAATAAAAATAAAAAAATTAGTAATATGATGCAACTTGAATTGTGTGTTTCACTGCTCAAGGTGTCTTAAATTATACTGCATTTCGGTCCGTAAACACATTTATTTTTTTGAGTGACCGTATTAACGGGGTGATTTCTTTAGTTCGGCCCGCTTCGGGACTCTACAATATGGCCGTTGGCCGTATTAACGGGGTGGCCGTATTAACCGGGTAACTTTATTATAAAATGTATTAGTGTTTCGCCGGGACAAAAAAAAGTGATCGTATTATCGAGGTGACCGTATTAACGGGGTGGCCGTAAGGCGGGGTTCCACTGTATCTGTAAACTTCTCAAATTATCGAAATATATATAAGAAAACATTAGCGGCTAAAGGAGTAAAGACCTTTTGTAAGCAAATTTGCATATTTTCGGAGAACTGTTCAGCAGTGTGAAGTCAAGAATTAATATATACACGTGCGTCAACACAAAAGATGCAAATTATAAACGTAGGGAAAAACCCGAATTTTTTTTAGTATAGCAAATAATTAAAATTATTGTCAGTATCATTAACAGAAATATAGTAGTCAAATACTACTTTATTAGCCATATCGAACGTAGATGTGCCTTTGACAGTTTGACTTTGTAGCTCAGTTGATTAATGCGCTGCACCGGAATCGCAGGACCGCAGCAGGTTCGATTCCTGTCAGAGGCCTATACAGTTACATTTTTTGCAACTGCTCCTGGTTTGCTATAAATATAATAAATGTAACCTTCTACATCTAAAATTACTACTCCTACCAAAAAATTATCGGATTCGTTCTTTCTTGCATATATTTTAACTATCACACGAACACGACAAATGTCCAAAAAGATGTAAACGTTTTTAATTAATATGTGACAGTGTCATATTACTCATCGCAGAAAAAGGGAGCACGAAGCTATTATATAACTTAGGCTGCTTTGCTGTGCAGTTTTATCTGATATTATATTGTGTTATTGTAAAAATCAACTCTCGCGTACGGCCGTATGGATTTTTACTTTAATGGAATTAACCGGTTTACAACAGAACTGAATGCCGCATACGAATTTCCGCATACGAAGTTTATTAATTTTGACAGTATTATACAATTTTACATTGTATTATTATATGGCTTTTCAAAATTCTCTATTCTGATTGGTCGACAATCGGTCCGCAAAAACCCATATCCGGCCGTGGTCCGTATTTTCCGTATCTGGCCCGGTGTCCCGGATGTCGTTTATCTGGCGGGAAATTTTCGCTTTGGAAACAGAAAATTTTTTTGCTTTTTAATTTTCCAATTGTGTGTGATTAAATTTCAAATATTTCATTATATTTCAAACAACCAAATTGTTTTTGATTGAGCATGCATGCCTACCGTATATTGTTACCCAGTGAAACTGACGATAGCCGATTTAATTCGCGCGAAAAGCATATGCTCACAGATTCAGTTCAGCCATATAATAAACCGATTATTGACCTCGTTGTTCGGTCTGTACTGTGAAATATCTGACCTCTGTTTTTTGCATGGACCTCTCTCCTTCGTCGCTTGGTCCATACTAAAAAACCTCGGTCTGATATTTCACAGTACAGACCTCACGCTCGGTCAATAAGCCGTTAATATTACATTGTTATTAGTGTTAAATTAAAACACAGTCATTTCCCTCAAACATTTCTTACAAACCCGCCAAAACTTAGAATTTTACCAGATGCGAAATTCCTACTGTGATCATAGCTGGAAACTTTGTAGTCAGGGCATTTTTTAAGAATTTACAACTACTGGGGCTTAGTCTCAATAAGGGCCTTTCCCCACACAGTTGATACGGGTACATACAAATCACTCTGTGCTCAGGGGCAGCGCTAGTGCTATTTGAATAGGGGGTGGGTGAGTGGGTGTGAGTGAAATATTGCCTACTAATTTCAAACACTAATTAGCTAGTATTTCTTTTCATCCAACTGGGATTAGATAATTAATTTGCCGACTACCTGACAATTGGGGGTGTTCCACACCCACAATCCACTTTTAGTTCCGCCCCTGCCTGTGCTGACTTTTATATGAGAAAGCAGGCAGATATAGCTTTTTCAACAAGGTTAACCTTTCACTAATGATCAAAAGGGCCCAGCTCATCTGAAAATCATGCTTCACTACTGGGGCAAGCAAAGGGCCTACTGGGGCAAATGCCCCTGCAGTAGTTATATAGTTAAAAAATGCATTGTTTGTAGTAAACTGTATTGCGTGATCTTGTAAATCCGATCATTAAATCGCAAAATGAGGGAATAAGGTCGTGCTGTTTCCAACTTGGCGCACTCGCTGGCAACAAAGTTTATCGAAGTAGTGCAATATTGATCACCTGCATGGTTTTCAGGGGCGTAGGAAGCGGGGGGGGGGGGCCGCGGCCCCCCCATAAATTTATAAGGGGGGGGCAGAGATAGCTTTCGCCCCCCCCCAAAAAAAAATCATTGAATTTACTCAATTTACAATAAATGCAGTGAAATTCGAAACTGAAATGGCTAAATAGGGCTCTGAAATGGCCATTTCCAAGGATCTAGAGCCTCTAATTTTCAAAAAATTTTCCGCTCGGCGCCAACCATGGTGACTCATACGTCACTACATCCGGGGCCAGGTGCGCGTATTTTCCGTATTTCACCCCTGCTAGTGACATACGAAAATTTCCCGCCATTTTAATTGTTATTTTTTGAAAATACAATTGGTCTTTGTTTCGTATTTAAAACGAAATTAACGTTGGAAATAAAAACGAAAGCATCTAAAAGACATCTTGAGATAAGTAAAATTTATTCTAGTTTTATGTTTGCACTATAATTTTAAAAAATATCGCTTTTATACTGGTCTTTCGCGTGCTTATTTACATGTCGTCTTTGTGTGTATTTTTGTTACTCTGAGTAAGTTCATATAATAAACAGAACATTAAACGGTTGCGAGAAGATATGGATTTATGTTCTCGTGTCAAAAACAATATCTCACTCGTTCGCTGCGCTCACTCGTGAGATATTGTTTTTGCCACTCGAACATAAAATCCATATCTCTTCGCAACTGTCTAATATCCTCTATATCCTGCATTTTAATGTGTACCGAGTGCGTAAGTTTTTATATAGAGTTTATAGACAAACAGTTATTGACCTAACCTCTGTCCAAATGTAGAAAAAGCAGGAAACTTTGTTAATCAGTTTACAGTGAGTGCAGCAAGTTAACGGTCTACTTCTTATTATTCTCATGTATGATTTACAACAGCGTGTATTTAAATGTTGCCATATTTTAGTGTGATTTTCAGTGTAAATTCGTAAGGAGGTAGAATATTTTGCGTGGAGACGAGTTTAAGCATATCCGGCTAATACAAATAATAATACATATACTTCTCATAACAGAGTTTTTCGGCTTATCATATACAGAGTTTTTAGGTTTAAAGGCCTCTGTGGTCGTTTTTGTGGGTTACAATTAACTGTGAAATATTTTCGCGAAAGCATTAATTTCAGGTTTGTTGGAAAATGCATTTTCTAAATATGCTAAATGCATGTAGGCGGAAAGGAAAACAATGACGTCTTCAGCAGACAGCAATTGACGTCATTAGAGAAACCGCGCTTCCTGACTCATGCACTTCTTCCTCTTTTGCATCACAAGCCAGCTCGTCATCCGCTAGCGGATGACGGCGAGAAATTTTTATATCCTCGGTTCAGTGCATGCTATGAAGACAGAAATACCACCATTCGATTCAGAAATAAAAGATTCAACTAATTCCTCCCTATAGTTATAGTCATTATCAACAGTGGCGGTAGGCTCGAAATTTCGCCAGTGTTAAAGTTGTCGCCCCTAAGAGTTATCTCGATTATTGCGCCCCTCCCCCCCCTCCCGCTCAGCCTCCCGAAAATTAGTACGAGTGTACACATCGAGTGTCGTAGGCACGAGGGACCCAGAAGGGTCTGGGGGGATGCTCTTCCAGAATTTTTTTAAAATCTAAGTCCGTGAAATGGCATTTCCAGCATTCTGAAAACACATTTGTGAAACAGTTTTCCACCAAGTACCAATATCTAAAACAATGTTAGTCAGGTTTTGTTGTAGCATATTATCAACGGATATAATTATACTATAATACAATTTTTACTATCATATGCCGATAATTAGAGAACATAATTTTGTTCCAGGTCAAATGTCAATAACGTATAGACTATAAGCTATAGTTTATGCAAATTGAGCATAATATCACAATCATGTACAGTTTTAAAAGACAACCAATGAACCAAATGCAAGTCAAAGTAGAGCTTTTGACAGTTCGGGAGAAAGCCCTGCGTACAGATTTTTAATGAGATGTTCTTTATCGCATTTGAGCAAAATTTTACGCTCGATTGACATTGCAATGAAAGCAATGATTCAAGTCTCTCCTGAACCATGGATGAGCGAATGCGAGTCTTCACCCTCTTGAGTGCAAAAAACGAACGCTCTGCAGTCGACGAACTAACTGGGATGGCCACAGCAATAGCATAAACGCGACAGAGAGTTGGATACGCATCAACCAAACTATAATCTGGGTTACAAAGGAGTGAAAGAGCTTCAGAGAAAGATGGAACTTTTTTCTTCGTTTGTTTGTCAGCTTTCTTGCCGCCGCTGTCGCTCTGCTCATTATCTGACGTGCTTCAGATTTCGTCGTCGTCCTCGTCATCATCATCATAACCATCGTTGTCCTCGCCGTCATCATCATCATAGTCATCGTCGCCCTCGTCGTCTTCGCTGTCATCATCATCTTCTTGCTGGCAGACAGTTGAACAGTCGAATTTCTCAAAAGAACGAACAAAATTGAACAATTCGTCAGCATATCTAAACGCATCTATACTGTACGTTTCACAAAAGGTGTCAAGGCACGCTTGAAGATCATGTGCGGTTTTGAAATTCTTCACAAGTTGTGGGAAACGGCTTGGGGCAAACAACGAAAAAGCTTGGAGCAAGGGTTGGTTTTTCTCAAACCGATTCTTCAATGAATTTAAGATCGTGTCCACAGAAACGTAAAATGTGTTACGTTTCCAGTGATCTTCTGGTGTTTCAGCAGGTTCGTCTTGGGCATTTTCATCATCCATTCGTCTTCGACGTCTGATTCTTGGTTGTTGCCAAGTCACGCTGGGAGAGTCGTGTTTTTGCTCAACGTATCTGATAATTAGCTCCGGTTCTTTACGCAATTCATTGAGCTCGTCAATCGCGCTTTCGACCATACCCAGGGCTTTTCCAAAATCAACATCAACGCGTTGTAAATATCGGCTTAGCGGACCAGTGGATGCAAATATTTCTCGAAAGAGGTACGCGGTAGCCAGAAACTGCTTTGTTTGAATCTGCTTCAATAAGCCAATGCTCGTTTTTCGTGGGTTTCCATCAATTAAACTGTCCAACGCAACGGTTTCCAGGACACTTAAAATGCAGTCATAACGAGAGAGAAGGACCTTTAGACACAACTCGCGTGAATGCCAACGAACAGTATTAAGTCTCTTTAGGGAAAGGACTTTCAGATTCTCTTCCAGTTGGACAGCTTCGAACAAATCATGGATTCTTTGTGTCTTGCTAAAGAGAACGTACAAGGCTTCGAGGTCATTGAAAAGGCTTATTACTTGAACATCAACACTTGCAGAGTCGGACAAAACAAGATTAAGCGTATGCGCATACAGTGGACAAAGCAACATGCTTTCCAACTTTCTCCTTGATGATCGCTTGCAAGCCGTTGTAGCAGCCGCTCATATTCGAAGCGCCGTCGTATGTTTGTGCTACGAGTTTACCAAACGACACACCTTTCGAGACAAGTGTTTCTGAGATTAGATTGTATAGTTCCATTGCTCTTGTACCGGAAGCTCTTTTGCAAGACAAAAGATAACGATCCTTGCACAAATACTAAGCTGCTCGTGATGACTGACATCCGGTGTGTGAGGCGTGTTTTCGCCTCTTAAACATTCATTTGAAAATAGGAGACATGGGAGGCAGAATAGACAATCCTAACTTAGCGAGTATGAAAGCCATTTGCGTCTAGTTTGATCTTCGTGAAAGAATACCGCCTGCGAGCAGTACCGGTTACGTTCTCCAATTTTCTTTTTTCTCTCAGATAAAACGGATTCGGGTGGCTGACATGGTTCATTTTTACAAATGGCATTTCGGCGCCCCTCTTGAAACCATCGCTGGGGGGGGGGCTGCCCCCCCCCCAGCCACCACGCCACTGGGCCACCGGCCATTAGCCGAGCAAAATGGTGATATGGCCGTCCATTGATTAATCTGCACGGACATTATTGCCGACCGTTTTGTCGTATCAGTTCGAATATTTCTCCCTTTATTGTTGCAAATCTTTTTAACAAAATCTCTAATCTTTAACACATGCAACAAAGATTTCGTCTGCTAGACAATCACAGAATCTGACTTCGTCCCGATTCACACAATAACAATGCATGTCATCTCGTTAAGAGAAATATTTTATATTATACATGATATATACTGTTACTGAGTAAGTTGTCACTGATATTGTGCAATTTGCCAATTTTGTTAACCATTATGCATATGGTTTTGAACTTTTGGTAGTTGTTACAATTTTTCGTTTCTAGTACTGTGACAACTGACAACATCCCTCTTGAGAATAACAAAGTGACCGATCATGTCCGACAAGCTAAAAAACATGGGTTGTCTGACACAATGTCAGACCAAGTTTTCAGAATTATATTGAACTCTATTAAATACCATGTTTGACGTAATTTCATGGTATATTGAAAAACAATGTGACACGCTATGACGTCACGCTAATTTATGCGACTTAAAAATGGCTTCCTCAAAGGAAAGGTACGCCGACCTTTTTTGTGTATTCCGACAAATAAATAATAAAACAATTATTGAATTCGGTTCTCGCAGGACAAACCTCGGCCCTAAGGAGGCTCCCTACAGTTTCCAATATGTCAGTGTTTTAAACTAAAATCTATTTAATTAATTTGAATCTACAATATATATATATAAAAAACTAATTTTTTGCACAAGTCATTGTTTCCTCTTATAAAAAAGAGTAATTTTAACCCACAATCGCTACTCTTCACGTTACCATGACAACATGACGTCACCATATATACATATGGCCTATATCAACCAAAAACCAAAAAAGCCGTCTTAGCGGACAAACTGAACCACAGTAACCGACCTTTTTTATTGCAAAAATACATTGTTACGAAGTTTTGAATCTTTCGGGTGTTTTATTTTAATTCACTGACTATTGACACTATTGCTACTTAAGGTTTGCTTAAAAGATAACTATAATATCCCACGGCAGATCCACCGTGGGGATATTATAGTATACCACGCTCACGCGTGACGCGTGGACACTACGCTCTGAAATTAACAATATGGCGTTCGCGAGCTGTTGTTTGTAATTTCGTACAGAACTACAGAAGATTTATTAAGTTAACCTAAGATTTTCAACACGTATGTTACCTTCAACGATCCAAAGGATACTTGCTCAAATATTTTAAAGAGAAAATGTCAAAAACTCAGGTGTACATAAGAAATTAAAAAATTATATATTCGCTTCAAGTTTTAAAGTTTTCTGAACTTGGTGGTTTCTTTAACTTTCGGTATAATATATCATTTATAGACTTTCCGCTCGGGGGATTCGGCGGAATATTACCCTCAGCGATGATATTTTTTCCTCGGGGCAAAGCAAAAATATCATCACTTCAGGTAATATTCCGCCGAATCCCCAGAGCGGAGGGTCTATAAATGATAATTATTAATTTCATTGTATTACTAGCCGTCGTCGTCACGTTGCCGTCCTATATCTTGGTCCCTATTAGCCGGCGAAGGAATACGACAATACTAAGACATACTATAAAGTATGTCTTAGCCTAGGCTAATACCTAAGACATACTATAAAGTATGTCTTAGGCTCCTAAAAAGTATATTAGATTTATACAACGGATATTCCAATCCTTAAAGTTATTTATTTTAAGGAGTTTTGGCCGTCACCGTAAAGGCAGATCATGACGTACATTAAAGTCAAGAGAATCATTGAGACGCCATATGCCGGGTGAGTGTTGCCAAGTTTGAAAATAACACTTCTCTAAATTTCCTTTTGCTGTTTTTAGCTGGATAAAGCCGGACACATGACGAACACGTTTTCTATGACAAGCTTCATGTGGCAAGTTACGTACAACAAATTTTCTGACACGTTTTTGGTTTTCTGGAAGCCACCATAGCTATTAAACAACAATATATTGCTGTCCGACGTCACTCCAAGTCTCCAACAACATCCGAGAGTCTTTTTACTAAATGAGACTTCTACTCTGGCTAAAAGCTAGCATGCTATTTATTAGCTTGGCAAACGTTGACCAGATGTACAGTCGAGCAAATTCGCCTTTTCGAGGTTCGCGACGCCATCTTGCCAAGTGGAGCGAACACAATAGTCAAACCATTGCTTCGTCCTAATGGGAATAGTTGTCCCTATAGGGTCATGGTATTGTTGCTCTACTAACTGCCCCGCGTGCTTAATTAAATGATATCCGATCTATGCTTTGTGGCAACGTGGTGACACGAACCCTGAAAAGGCGCGTAGAACTTACCATATGAAAACTTCTCAAAACGCTGATTGAAATTTAAATTTTAAAACTCTGAGTAAATACCATGCACCATGAGGTAAAACAATGAACAATATCTGTTGCGATAGCTGTCAACAAACGAGCAAATCTGGAAGGATATTATGTCCCCATTTTTCGTCCACAAATCGAATATGTTTCTCTTTGATCTTGAGCCAATCACAAATTAAACATATTATGCACGAAACATGAAGGTATAACCACTTGAAAGAGGCCATTAAGAATGCAATAAACAAGTACAGCCTAGCTGTTATGTCAATTATAAGCGTATAGCGTGACTAGCGTCGCCAGCTAAGAAACTTAATTTAAAGTGCCTATTTTTGCAGAATCTTCACTTTGATCTCCGCGCACACTGGTTCACACACAATAACATTCCATGGACTGTATTCTATCGATTTATTTCATTGGAAAGATTATCTATTTACAACGCGATTTTAGACTTCCTCGTCTCGCTACGATCTGATCACAACTGCATTTACATATTAGCCAATTTAGCCTCAATCAATAATGGTATTAAATTACAATGAATCACTATGAATCACTATGAATTACTATAATCACTATTTTAAGCAAACTATATACATATATTTTCATTAAGTAGCAGAAGCAACTGCTCTGCGGAAAACTGGCGGCACTGCGCTGGGAACTTACAACACCTATGACACGAAATTTCACCCCAAATGTTTATGATTGCATTGTAAAGATCACTTAAAATGACTTAATAATTTCTTTTATAGAATTTTGGTAACTTGCTTCCTTTGCAAGATATTCAACTTTGTTTCATATGCAAATATCACCGGTGTGACATTAGCCTGCGAACAGGCTCTCAAGCTGAATTGAGAGCCTGCATCGATGACTAATGAATTTGAATATCTGCCCCGTAACGTTCATTTTTCCAAATATGGAATGTCTATCCTTATATGGTGTTGTTTACAACTTTCGTGCAAACTAAATTTAGACCGTGCAAACTAAATTTAGACTGTACAGTTTATACTATTTTTCGAAATATAAGATATTCAAGCAAAAGTTTAAATGTGTTAAATACTGTTTTCTCAAAACAGAACATTTCGTGCTTTGAGATAAGATGGCCAAGATCAATTTGATCAGTTAATGTGTTTTTTTATGCATAGTGCAACAGTAGACATATATAGAGCTCAGCGGAATAATATAAATTATAGCATCTGACCAATGAGAATTTCGCGTCACGATTTGAGACGCAGATATTCAAATTCATTAGTCATCGATGCAGGCTCTCAATTCAGCTTGAGAGCCTGTTCGCAGGCTAGTGTGACATCACATCGCATAATCTGCCTCGTACCCAGGCGTCTCTTTGTAAAAAAGCAGTGATGCCCATATGACGTGTTTACATGAAGTATTGCAGTCGCATAATGACATTTTGAAAACGCAATATTTTACCAGATATTTTACCTTGATAGAATATATTTATAAACAAATACAGATGGTTAATTACCATTTATGACTGAATTAATACATATACAAGGCAAGGGCAATTTTTAAGTTTTTAGATACGTATTCGTCAAGAAAACTATACAGTTTCCGAAAACTCATTATGTGATGTGATGTCACACCGGTGATATTTGCATATGAAACAAAATTGAATATCTTTTCAAGTTACCAAAATTCTATAAAAGAAATTATTAAGTCATTTTAAGTGATCTTTACAATGCAACCATAAACCTTTAAATTGGGGTGAAATTTCGTGTCATAGGCACTTTAAGTAAGATTATTCTAAGCATTGCTGTATTGACACTTCATAAATATAAAACACTGTCAACATATATGTATAGTATTGAACTACAATGGAGAATCATTATGTACTGTCTGTACCAGTGTAGGTACCAATTATATGAACAAGATTTCGTTGCATTGCCTTAGTAATGCAACTATACCTGAAAAATATAAGGTAGCCCGCGTGCAGGCCGACCGAGGGAAGAATAGTGGACCTGCAAGCAAGATCCGGTATTTTGTACTTTCCGCGTTCGCCCACGAACGCAGCATCCTGATTGGCTGTTTGCTTTTGGATTCTATAATTAGATCAGTGATTCATC